ATGCTGCAGGTAATATAATGCATGTATTTAAAGGTGCCCACTGATGAAATGTTCCGTTTCTGACTGGTCCTGAAATTGATTCAAATATCTGATGCTTATCTTTATTTTTTCCAGTAATAATTATTACTGTGATTATTGTGATTATTTCATTAGCAAAGGGGAACCCATTACTGTTATGGCACACACAGTCTGTTTGTATTTTATCACTCATTGTCTTATAGCTGTCATTAATATGTCTCCAAGAATCTTAGTGACCACACAAAGGTGCCCTGTTGTATTGACGTTAGAGAATTTATGCTATTCACCTTCCTGGAAGTGGGTTTGGTTCATTGGTGTATGTATTCCCTGCGACACGTAGAGCATGCAGAGAGAAACAAAAAGGCATTTTGAGCCATGCTGGCAGAGGGCAATTTTTACACCTAGTCAGGGCACGCTTCTCTGACTCTGCGCATTGCACTGAGCAGCAGGAGGTGGCACTGGATCAAAGCAAGTCATTTGGACGTGTTTTTTTTTGTCCGTTTTGTATCAGTTGCACAATATTTCATCATGGTGAGCTGTGCTCCTGCTTCTCACTGAGCCCATATGTTTCCATACAACACTAAGGCTGTGTGTGTTTCTGTAGCAGGGCAGAGAGGGCAACACAAAAACATTTGTGACAAATAACACATTTATTTGTAGCAATCATTAGAAGCGGGTTAATTATGCTTCTGGCGATCTATATGATGGAGACGGGATGTCAAAGCCAGGAGTGTGCAAGAGCAGTAGATCATTCTACACAGCTCCTTCCACACTTATACCACCATCATCATCACTGATGTCTAGTCAACACATATTCAACTCTAAGGAAGTTTAAAACATGCAAGTTACTGCTACTATTTATCAGTTTTCTGGTGGAAAAAAACAATAAAAATCTTCTTTGCTGACTTAAATATACAGCAAATTTTGCTAAAGTATTTCTGCTTATTTTAAATGGAATGCATCCACGTCAAACCAGAAAATCAGGAGTTATGTGTGTGACTGGTTTAGTGTTATTTGAATGGTTTTAGCACCTTGATCAAACTTAGACATGACTGCAGGGGGCTGAGAGGTAAGCAGAGTAAGCAGGTGACATGGGCTGTAGGTTGTTTACATTTGGCAGCTGCTGGTGGTTTTAACGGGATATTAGATTAAAAATAATAATAATGTACCCTTGT